ATGATAAACGATAGCCGTATTTGGAGCTGTCTTCAAACTGTTTTAAATTCACCTTTTTACCTCCGCATTAATATTCATGAAAGAGTTCAAACACACAGGGGTTTTTAGCACCAGGCCTGACTTTAATACGCTGCTCCAGGTAAATACTGTCACCACAGACAAACTGAGGATTTTTAGTGGGCAATTTTCAACTTTACTTTTCCATGAATTATGCAAGCCTCAGTCCCCTTGTTTTGACACACAATACAATCAAATAGAATATGTGTTTAGCCGTATTCCCAGAACAACGCAAGCAAGGTCTAAAGAGCATTTTGTCTCTATTTAGTCCTCTCCCCAGTTTCTGCAGTGTCAGTGTCTGGCCTGACGTTATTATTACAAAAGACCTCTTGGAATTGCCGTGTGTGTGCGTTGTGGGGACCTGGTTTGTACTGATGGCCGTAACAGGCAGTTTTTATAGATATTGATGTAGTGTAGTGGTGTGTGTGGGACTGCGTAAGTGCCGTAATGATGACACGAACCGGTTTACCAGACAACAAAAGCTGGGTGATGGAGTGGAGGTCTCACATGGGGGGATATCGAAGCCAATCTGTGTCCTCCGAATGGCTGTATCCGCCTCTTTTGCTTTATTCTACCCGCGAAATGGCTCCGTCAGCAAGGCTTACGCGGATCCAGGCGGTCCCCACTCCCCAGGCGAGCTCGGGGCCCAAAGGGTAGAGCCGTGACTGCTGCACGTTGGCAGTATTTCATGTAAATAGCGTCCGCGGACTTGGCTTGCCGAGCGTCCGCCGCATTGTTTATTCATTGTCCATTTTTCGCACCCCCTCAAGGTGCAAGGCGTTGCACAAACTGTGTGTGTTGCACATGCTGTGGTGTGAATGGGGCGCTGTGTCAAGCTGCAGTTTTTATCTATTGTGTTTCTTGGTGTTGTCTGTGAGATGATTATGTATGCTTTTTTGGACGTGATTCAGTATATGACCAGAAAAGAAGAAGACAAAGATATTCAAGAGTTCACAATTTTTTTTTTTTTTAATTCTCCTTACAACTAAATACTATACAAAACTTCTATTTCCCTAGCTATCCCTATCAAATGTCAAAGTGTCAAATTAACTGTCCCTCCAGGCCTGAAAACTAATAGAGGACTTCCAGGTACTTTTCTCAGTGCTCTCTCTCTCCCTGGCTCTAACTAAATAACAATGTCGTTCAAAACAGTTTTATGAAAATGTGTGGAAGAAGACCGGAGAGCCTGGTCTGGGTCTGGTCTGGTACGGTCTCATCTCTTCTGCGTTGAGATAAGAATCCCTCTCTGAAAAGAACACTCCAAGGCTATCCATTGTTTTGCTTTAAACTCATTGACATCAGGCTAATCTGAAAACGCATTGTAATGGATAAAACATAAGGCAAGGGCAGCAGCAGTAAAATCCTCTCTAATTTAATTCTGCAAAAAATAATTTCACAAAAAAAAAAAAAAGTAACAAATATTTATGGCCAACCTAAGTACACAACCTCACCAAACCAACGAAAACCAAAAGAAAGAACCCCCTCACCAAGACATAAGGAGGACTTAAATATGGGAGGAGTTACCCAAACAAACACCAGAGGGGGGAAAGCTAAACTGAAATATAGTGATAATGTGTAGTAGTGTCTCTTCACCCCTTGATTCTTGAGAGCAGTGGACTCTTCCGGGATATAAAATAGCCCTCCAGCCCTTTAGTCTTGTCCTTTGGTTAGCTGTAGAGTGGTGGCAGAAGAATCCACCACATGCGTAAGATAAAAACACTATAAGAACACTATATAAAACATGGTTAAATATAGAATTTCAGAATTTCATAGATGGAGATACATGGATGAAAGAGAATAGAAGTGTGTTCTTCGGCGTGTGCTGCATTCAAAATCCACAACAATGCATAAGTAAGTAATAATAATAAGTAAGTAGTAATACTGTCGAGAAATGAAGATGAGGCAGGTATCTTTGAACAGAATTGAGTAACTGTTCTGTATAAAGTGTGCTATATGAATAAAATCATTCTTTCTTGCATTAAATAATAATGAAATCTTATTGTGTCCGTGGCTTTCTCTCGTCACAAATTGCAAGTTTTGGCTGATTCCTAAAACACAGTATAAGCCCTTGAGGACCTGTCGACTATGACCATGACTGTCGCCCCCTGCAGGACACTGTGTCTTCTCTAGAAAGTAGCTTTAGTGACAGAATGATTCACCCTCGCTGTGTAATGGAGAGGTCCTGCTGCTGTCAGACTGTACACTGGCAACTGCTGAGATTCATCTGTAAATAAGTAAATGTCTCACTCTGCTCTAAACTGCACCAATGTGTTACATTTTGCTCAATAACGCGAAAAAATATCCCGAAATATCCGCGGCTGCTACTGCTGAATGTTCAGTGAAGGGGCCACTACTTACTTAAGAGTCATTCACACCCGTATTATTAACAGATAAGATAAGATAAGATAAGATAAGATAAACCTTTATTAGTCTCACAGTGGAGAAATTTCAGTGTCATCGTTGCACATTACAGCAGAGAAAGGAAATAAGAGCACTCAGATTGCACACATTAAAGTGAATTATTTCAGATAATAGGCAATAAATTTAAGATAAAATAAATAAAATAAAATAAGAAAATCTGGGCTACAATTGCACTTGGTTCGGAGTATTTACAGATGTCTATATTATACATTAGCAGCGGAGAATATGAGAATATGAGAATAAACATCAGAAATAATATCAACAGGTAAGGTGAACAGCGCTCCAAGACAGCCGTTTTGGACGTAACAAAAGTGGACACGATTGTTACGTCCAAAATGCCCAGTTTCATTCATTCATTCATTCATTTTCAAGCCCTTTATTGTCCATTTCTGGGTCAGGGGGGTGGCAATTAGAGCTGCCAACCAATGCTCATAGCACCAGTCCCTTGCTTATCCTCTGCAGGGGGTGAGTCCACAGGAAGAGTTTGTCTGCAGTTATTGAATAATATTTTTTGCATAGTTTAAAGTCTATAATAACATATTGATTATAGTCATATCTCCAACCATTAAATAGTCTTCTCTGTCCTGTTCATTATTCCATTCGCAAAGCCTCCAACGTTCAATACCAGTTTTTTGAAAGGCGTTCATTTTTCTTGAAATAGTTTTAGCCGCTCTTTTGAGATTATACTATGTACGCTTGAAGTTAGATCGACCCATGTTTAGTGTGGAGTTAGCCAAATACTGCAATCACGTGCAATGTGCAATACTTACATTTCTGAATGTCACTTTATCTACTTTTTTACCTGCCCTGTACTTATATAACTCTACAATAAATGTAGATGGATGGATAGACATAGATACTTAGATCTATCTATCTATGCATCTACAGTATATCTACAGTATGTATATATGTATGTGTGTATGTATGTATCTACAGTACGTGTGTGTGTATGTATGTGGGTATCTATAGATACTGTAAACCCAAATTAGTAATCATTACTAAAGCCGCGCATGGTAAGTGATTGCACTGGGATGTCTAGTTTTTACAAAATCAAAAACCAAACAAATCAAGCTCTGTTTACATAAAGTCTTGTGTCCACGATAATCCATTACTAAAGAACTTGAGGTTTTAAAAATAATGCTTTTGAGTAATTGCCTAAACCATTACTCGTATATATCTGTAATCATTACTCATGTTCATCAGAGTTTATTTATCATGTTTATCAGTATTTATTTCTCATGCAATATAGTTAGAATTATGAAATATATATTGTATCATTTTTTTAAATTACACAATAATTGACAATTAGTTTTTTCAAAAATTTATTGCAAAAATTGTGCAATAATAACCTTTTAACATTCGAATCTGAGTAAAATGCAGTCATCTGCATGTAAACAATCAGAACAGCGCTTGTCTTTTTTTTTGTCACATTTCACCATGTTAAACTTTTAGACATATAAGCTAGATCTGAGAAAAGTGCTATGTCAAAACAATTCTGCATTTAACCCTTGAAAAACATTTCTCTTGGAAATTTTAAAACCTTGTGCAAAGAGGGAACATGCTTGCATAACATCTTATGAAATAACTGAGGTAGCATTTGTCATTTACATCATTAATCTGGTATCAAAGGAACAGGCCACCGTTCTTCCATACTGAAATATGTTCTTAACTGAGCTTAGACGAGTTGATACGTACCTGTTTGGTCTTTGTACATGCCCTGAGTCATGCAAAAATACCAGATGTTAACGTTTTGCCTCTCCCGGTATATTCCTATAGCTCCAAATGGGGTGAAGTTAGAATGGGCACAAAGACCAGACAGGTACTGTTCATCTCCTCGTCTAAGCTCAGGTAAGAACAGATCTCAGTATGTAAAAAGAGTGGCCTGTTTCTTTAAGACTTACTTGGAACCGTGGTATGGCTTGGATGGGTAAATTGCCTAAATGAGCGTCGCTACCTTTAATATTTGGAAGCCTTCATTTTTAGAGACAAAAAAACTAGCATGGTGGCACATAGTAATTGTTTGAAAAATAATGAACAGGAAAGTTGCTGTGTAACAGTTTTAAGTTTTTCAGCCTGTAAACTTCACCGGCCTCTAGGCCTATATAACAACACTTGCTCACATTTTTATGAATTATGTTTGTATTTAAATGTGGAATGCAAACTTCAGCAGTACAAACAATGAACTTCTAACTGCTAAATAAGTTTGAAAAAAAAAACCTTTTCTGTCCAACCATAACTAGAGCACCTGCAACATTTTACGCCAGTAGTTGATTCTTCAGTGTTTGAATTCTCGGCTTCAACTCGGTGCTTCCCAAAGAAAAAAATACCTGTTGAATGAACAGGAGGGTATTTCTGATTGTCTTCGGGTAGTTTAGGTGGAGTCCATACGTAAGTCCAAAAAGGAGACACACAGCTTCTGGCAGGGTTGTCAGCTTTTGGACAACAACTTCACCCTCAATGACGATTTTTAGGCTTGCTGGGTGAAGATCTGATGTTGGGGTAGAAACACCTTCAGGATTCACCAGCAAGATTCCAACATCCATTTGGCCAAAGGACTCATCACCATCCTAAAGATAAACAAAAAATGTTTGCCAGAAATATAACTATTAGTGAATAAAGTTACCGAACTACAACAGACAGCCATTAAGGGGCAGCAATTTTTTCTACCATTTGGCCACGAATTATAAAATTTTGGTGTAAATAACTATTTGAGGGAACGTCTTGGTCTATTCTGTCAATGGTGTATTCTGACGTTTATACAGAATTATTATTAATTTAATATGGGACGGTCGCAGTCATCACTGCACATAAACACAGCATGTTCAGGTGTACTTGAGATTGTGTATTTTATTCATTGGAAAGTGGGCAAACTGCTCACCCATCCTGCTGCACAGTATGGTGTTTTTGAGAGAAATAGTTATTGGTATTAGAATTTCAGATAAATTGAGTGACTACAAAGTTATACAAATATCGCATAGGATCATGTTATTTCAATAAAGCTCTAAAAGGGCTCCTGTCCTGTGCAAATAACTCCTAACCTCTAACAAGTATGGTATTATGAGGGGTCCAAAATATAACACACAATGCAAAAAAAGGATATGTTGCGCCAGAAAAATGTTACGATAATATCTAAACCACATTATGACACTGATGATAAAAAAAAAAAAATAAAAAAAAAATAGAGAAATACAAAATCTAGCTGTCTTGCAGCTGTCTACGGAAACAAACTTCTATATTTGACCTGCAGATACCGCACTTTGGTAAAAATCAAAGATAATTATTATTCTAATAATAAAATGTTTGTATTAGATCTTGTTTGAGTAAGCATGGTGGATGCAGAAACGTTTATAATAGAAGATTATAAGTGAGGTGTACATGGGTGCGGTTTCATATGCAGTGTCAAATTATAATGTATTCTTACAGAGCTTGATTTGAAGAACTCAGTGGGATTGTCTCCGAGTAGGTGTGGAAGCCCTCTTAGCGCGACAGTCCTTTTTTCTGTGGGATCCAGTGACTGAAAGAACGATAATGCATTAAAAGAAAAAGTCTGTCATTCACAGAGACACACGCACAGACAATTTGTGCTTTTTTGTTGTGTCCCGGTTACAAAATATTACCTGCATTTGCTGCAAAAGCTGTGCCAAATGTTCGCCCACGTTGCCCCTCTTCGCTTTAAAGATTTCCATAAGACGGGTACGGTGATCATCAAGGGCAGAATAAAACTCCTGCTGCAGGTCTTTTCCCACAATCCTTTTGAATTCCAGGCAAATCTAAAAAAAAAAAAAAAAAAAAAAGAGAAATTAGTGGGTGCTGTAAAACTGGAAAAGCAGATAACCATAAAGAAAAGTTAAGCATACCTGCTCATTAGTAAAGAGTGCAGGCCAACGTTGAATCAGAGAGCTTATTGGTGGTGCTGTCTCCACAACGTCATTCCTCCTTAAGGCAAAGCTTAGGTTACTTTTGTAGGTCATGGGGAGTTACAATGTTTTACTCAGCTGGAGAAAATGCACTCGGCGGGGGTTAGAAGGTTAACATGAGAGACCAAGTGCCAAGACCAGTGCCAAAGCCCTGGTCCATTAATCATGACACATGTTTCAACCGTAATTATAACCACAACCTAATTGTAGAAAAAAATAAAGTACACCTCAAAAATATATACATTTACTGAAGTAGCGACAAGATCAAATGCGGCGGTTAGGGGAAAAAAAACAACATGAAAAAAAAAGAAAGTAAGATTTGAACGAGCTAACACAGCTAGCTAACTTACCAAGCAAAATTCGCGGCTATAGAGGATCAGTGTAACGCTACAGAACAAACAGCCCTTGGTTTGCATGTTCACTGTCGAAGTTGCAAAAATATTAACGCATGCGGCAAATTAGTTTGAAGGCAACAGAAAGCTAACATTTCCCATTGCTAGCGCTTAGCATTAGCCGTTAGCGGCTAGCTGCAGTAACCTACATTCGCAAACGCGTTAAACTGCTAATACAGTCCCAAAATAAAACACAAAAGACTCCCATATACGACCAACCCAATATATTGTAGGGCTAAATGACGCAGTTGACTTTTCGGTGAAATATAATAGCTAACGTGAGCACGAGGAAAATATTATTTTACCCAGTGAGTAGAACTACTACAACGAAGAGAAATGTATGCACTTACCATAGTTTAATAAACTGCTACATCAACCAGACTGGCGCTGATTTCCCCAATTCCAGACAACTGTGACATGCATCGGTGGCCAACAGACAGAAGAGCCATGCTGGGTTTGAACTCATCGGGGTTCACTGCCTCAAGCCCCTCCCAAAACCAGTAAAACATGTAAATGTGAGGTGTCTCCGCTCAGAGCCATTAGTGGAGCAAATACTCGTTTTAATTAGTTTACAATTCACATTTTGTTTAATAATGGTCCCGCCTTTTGCAAAATTATGAAAAGATTAGTAGCAATAGCTTGACTTGTTATGTAAAAGAAAATTTGGGTTTACAGTGTACAGTATGTGTGTATGTGGGTATCTACAGTATGTGTGTATGTATGTATCTACAGTATGTGTGTGTGTATGTATGTGGGTATCTACAGTATGTGTGTATGTATGTGGGTATCTACAGTATGTGTGTATGTATGTATCTACAGTATGTGTGTGTGTATGTGGGTATCTACAGTATGTGTGTATGTATGTATCTACAGTATGTGTGTATGTATATGGGTATCTACAGTATGTGTGTATGTGGGTATCTACAGTATGTGTGTATGTATGTATCTACAGTATGTGTGTATGTATGTATCTACAGTATGTGTGTATGTATGTATCTACAGTACGTGTGTATGTATGTGGGTATCTACAGTATGTGTGTATGTATGTATCTACAGTATGTGTGTATGTATATATCTACAGTATGTGTGTATGTATGTATCTACAGTACGTGTGTATGTATGTATCTACAGTACGTGTATATCTTAACTATCTACAGTATGTATGTATCTAACTATCTACAGTATGTGTATGTGTGTATGTATGTATGTACTAAATCTACAGTATCTATCTATCTCTCTCTATGTATCTACTGTATCTGTAGGCCCAATAAAGGTTCTTATCTAGTTCCAAGTCCCAGCTTTTAAATAAATACTTGTAAATAAAATAACTCTGGCAGTCCTGAATGCAGTGGAAAGATTAAACGAGCAGCTGTTGTTTGTGAAGTCAAAGCTGCGGATCTCTTACAGAATGGAACTCACTTATCCGACCACAGCAAAGCGATCTCTTCCACACGGATCAATACGACCTGAGCCTCCATCAGTTACACCAATAAGAACGCAGCTTAATAAACCTGACAATCCACATCTGCATTCCAGCCTCAAATATTAGGATACGATACGTTAAAGCGGCATTTCAGGGCAATTTCTTCTTTCATTTTGTTTTTTCCCATGACTTTTTGTGACAGAAAGAGATGTAGAAACAGCCTTGAATTTCAAAATGGTGATTTTATTGTTAAACTGTGGAGCTGTTGTGCTTCAAAGCAAGAGGGTCCTGGGTTTGATTCCACCTTCAGACAGGGCCTTATGTGTGGCGTTTGCATGTTATCCCCGTGTCTGCGTAGGTTTCCATTGGGAGCTCCGGTTTCCCCCACGGTTAAAGGCATGTACAGTAGATGAGGGTTGAATAAGAATACCCACTGTCCTGTCCAAATACACAAATACAATATTAGTGTAATCTTATAAAGTCATTGTTACAATTACAATCCAACATTTGCTTATATAATTTTCCTGTATGTGCGTACTTTAGGCAAGGCTCTGAAGCACTGATTACTGTTATTATTAATACAACTAATGCAATGGTTTTCTAAAGCACTGTTTTTGGATACCCAAGATCCTTCATTCTCTCTATACACAGATGCCCTGGGGCACTCTAACAAAAGCGAGACAACTCATTCTAATGTGGGAAAAGGACACAGTGACAGTTTGGCACTTTACACTTAAAAAGGCCCTGCCCTGCGTCTGACGGGATCTGGCTTTCACATGCCAGTCCGTCCATGGGAGTTGGATCCCTCTTTCCCTGTGAGTCTCCCTAAGGTTCCTCTGCTTCTTTCTCCCACTTTTTTGAGTTTTTCTTTGGGATCCAGGACATTTCTTGACGTGTTTTAGGCTAACAGGACCTTCTTCAAACCATCTCTCATCCTCTGTTTATCTGCTGTTTCACTAAAAGTAACACAACCTCATGATACAATTACTCAACTCTGCATATTATGTCATCACACAGAGACCAGAGGATCTAACACACACCCACACACACACACACACACACACACACTCATGGCTAAACCCGCTCAGGCTTCATTCAGGGAAACACATGTTTATTTTCCCCGATACAAAAGTGTTCCACATGAGTTAAACTTGGCCTTAGTCGTGTTTTTTCTGCAAACAAGGATCTCACTGTTCGGGTTCTCACTCTGTATAATGGAGAGTTAATGTTTCAATACAGGGGTCTCGACGGTCTGGTATGATTCTGGAAATATAGTAATTTACTGTCAAAAGTTATGAGGTTTCTTTGATTTATTTTACTTTTTTTTTTTGACCCCAAGGGGAGTTGGAAAAAAGAAACAAGAAAATATATTTTTTTTTTCAAATGATCTGTATTGTCTGAGTTGTGGAAAATATGACAGAACAATAAACTACAATTTATCTAAAATATTATATACATGCTTTCTGTTTCTATATATTCCATACTTTTAATATTAACAAGTGTCCCGTAGTACTAAAATTTATTATAATAATAAGTCCATAAACTTTGCTCTGACAACTCTACGACAATTAAAATACACACATTAGCTGCATCGCTATATAAGCCGCAGGATCAAAGAAGTAGAAAAAAGTAGGCTGATCTTCCAGAAATTATGGTTGTTTTATGATGTAATTTATTCATAAAAATACAGACCGGTAAGTCTGATTCCATACCAGTTAAAGCTCCTCTTCTGGTTCTGGTCCTGGACCGGTTCTGAGTTGATGCCAAATTAGTAGAAACAGAAGAACATACATTACAACCAATGCATTGGTGATTGGAATCAGGAAGCCGGGTGCGTGGACCATCAACAGAGACGAGGGGGGCCTTCACCTTGGCTCACACTTGGGACTCACTTTTCCCAGAGACCACAGCAGGGGCGCGGCCAGTCTGCTGACACCGATCTGCTCCGGTCTACAGACTTTGCCAGTAGCGGTAACAGCAAATGACCAGAGACACGTCAGCGTAACCATGACAACGTATATCGTAAATTCTGGACTATGAGCCGCGGCTTTTTTTCCTGCGTTTTGAAGGCTACAGCTTATAGTGAGGTGTGGCTTGATTTTGTTTATTTTTTTTTATTTGCGGCAGACCAACAGAATTGATGAGTAGTACACATAGGTCCTATTCAATTGTAAGATTTAAAACAGTTTAAAAGTCCTCAATTACAATACGTTTGTGTAAATATCTCATATAATAAATAGTTTTTTGGTTCTTTGTAAAGAAATGAAAGTGAAAAGAGACCCGTAGAGGTTGCTCCTTGTTTTTCTGCTTCACACTGAAAGATTAAAAACAACCAGTGACTCACTTCTTATTCTTATCACTCACAATAAAAAAAAGACATGAAAGTTTTTGAGCAACATTTTTTTCAATATTACATTGTGGGACAGGAGCGGCTTATAATCTAGTGCGGCTTGTACTACAAAATTCCTGTTTTGTTTATTTCGAGCAAATAAGTGTACAAGAAACAAAAGTAGAATATCAAAATTGTGCATAAATAACCCTGAGTTACATTTACGTAATACAAAATTATAAATATTATAAACACAAAAGAAGCAATTGCAGACACTCGAAAAGGAGTGGGGGGACGAAAACGTATTTAATCCCACTCCTGGCGGGCCCTAATTCTTTCAATAAAAAATTAGGGCCCGCGGCTTATAATCAGGTGCGGCTTATAGTCCGGAAAATACGGCACATTGTCCATATGTTATGGGCATGGGCCTGATTCAAATGAATAGAGTTGCGAGTTGAATCGGCAGGTTATTAAGCGGAAAAAACCCTGCTCGGATCATCTTTACTTTTTATCCTATCTCCATATGAATAAGCAAACCCTCCACCCCCCCCCTGCCCTTTCCCTCCCCTCCCTCCCCCCCTCCTCTCATGAACTCCCGTGTGCATCTCTGAATGTGATAAATGGCGTCCACTTTTTTTTTTTCTATGTCCCTTTGTTAGTTTTTTTTTGCCGCGGCGACATCAAAGACCTTTGCTGTTTGCTGGTATTAATTACCTCTCAAATACATGGCACCAGCGGTAACCACAGCAAAACAGATACTTCTCATATCGGCCTAGCACCTGATCCATGCACCTGAGCTGAAATCAATGCAGAGCGTAGCACATAAATAGCCGGAGCGCACGCCTGCCCTGTACCTTGCACATAATCGATGGGGGCCAGGGCAATTTTCAGAGACACGAAAATCAAATGACAATGTTTAGGACAGAAGCCTCTTGACCAATCGGACAAACAGGCAGAGGCTCCAGGAAGGGAAGGAACAAAGAGGAAAGGGAAGGAGAGCGAGGGCAAGGTGGAGGATCGGGTTCCGCGCGCAAGGTAAAAAAGAAACGCAAGACGGAAAATGGCCACTCAGGATCAAAGAGTTGGATGTAAGCAATACAGGAGGTAGACGTGAGGTAAGCAGGTTTGTTCCATGAGTCCGCACGGTTCTGTAACGCAACAGAAGAAACAACAAAGATAAAATATATGCAAAAATGTTGTCCCATTTGATAATTTTCTAGTTTTTTTTCTCGTGTTTTATTAGGTTTTTTTGTGTATGTCCCCTGGATGTGAATGCCTCATCTTGTTAGACCTATGAAGCTAAGCAGGGCAAGGGCTGGTTAGTGCTGTGATGGGAGACCTATGGGGGGGCGGCTGTGGCTGTATAGTGCCAAACTGTTGTTGTGTCCTTTGGCAAGACAAGAATGAGTCTGGTGTGTGTGTGAATGGTTGGTGGTGGTGGGAGGGGCTGATAGCACAGACTGGTTGCCTCGCAACCAGTCTGTGCTATCAGCCAGTGTGCCCCAGGGCAGCTGTGGCTACAGTAGTAGTTTATCACCACTGTGTTTGGAGTGAAAGAATAATAACATGTGAAGCGTCTTTGAGCGTCCAGAAAAGCACTA